GGGGGAAGGGGAATTTGAATCTTTAATCTCAAGAAGATAAAACCTTCCCAAGACAAAGAGTATCATTGGAACAAAGGTCATTGATAGAGTAAAACGAATTAGTATCGCATCAAGAGTTACTTTTTTCGTCTTTGGCATTCAAATATCATCGAATGCCAGTCAAACAAGATTCACTAGAATATACGTAACTGGAAACGGAATTTCATTGCGTTCCAACAGTCCCTACGAAATGAACTTCAATTCCTCATCTACAATCACCCAATTAGCAGCATGCAAATGCCATAATTTATTCTAGTGGAGCTTAATTATCGAGAGTTATGAAAGACCTACTAAACATACTGTTAAAGAATGAAAGTGAATTTATGAGAAAAAGTTCTTCTAGTTAAAGAAAAATATAAAATTCTTGATTTAAGAAGAGGAATGAACGATTCTAGATGCGACAAACGGGTATACATATCCTCGTTTAAAACCCAACCCAAAAATGCACAGCAATTTTCAAACCTGTTCACCATACTCAACAAACTACGATGACTTAAAATCGCAAAATTATCTTCCAATCTTGGGACACTTTGGTGCACTCGAGAAGACGAGTTAAAGCATGACACAGCAAAGAAACAAGCTTTTAGTACTTTACGATGAAGGAGTTTTGGGATTTTTTGATTCATTTGTTTATCCTTAATGGATAAGAGAGAAGACATGCCAGGAACTTTCCATGGTTGCCAAACTGGCAATGGCCCAGGTTAAGCATAATTACCACGTTCATGTCGGTTTGACACTACTATGAGCTCAAAACCAGGTCCATCATAGGACCCTGGGGTCGCATCTGTAGTCCAGCGATCTATCTTCTTCTTTTTTTCTGTCTTTGGATCAATACAATGACATTCACGTGGTTGTTTTTTTGTATGCAAAGTCGTGAGTACTAATAAGCCCAAGTGTAGAAGACTGTAAAAAAATATATATTACCGCTCTGTATTACTGCTCTGTCTAGTTCTATGCAGTTTCATTTTTAGAGGAATTCCATTCATCTTGAGAACTGTAGAAAATATATTCAACCTGATTAGTCCCTCGGGCTATAAATACGATGCATTTGGTTCATAAATTCTTAGCCCCCTCTCATGGCGGAGAGCTCAAACCCATCTAAAACATCAGCTAATGACCCATCTCCTCCAACCAACCCATCCGTTCAAAGGCCAGGTTCAGCGTTGAAGCTATTTGGTTTCAATTTGACCGAGAGCGATCCAACTGAGGACAAAACACAAACATGTGGTGAACATAGAAAATTCCAATGTCAGTTCTGTGGTCGGTTATTCACCAACTCTCAAGCTCTTGGAGGTCATCAAAATGCACACAAGAGAGAGCGTCAAAGAGCAAAGCAGCATGCCCAGCAGGGCAATGATCAACAATCCCTAGCGGCTGCACCAATTCTAAGCTCTCACTCAGTGAGATCAGTACATTCAGGAGGTTTTAACGTCACTGGGTCTGCCGCTAAGTTTGATTCAAAAGCCAAAATGGACATTTCATCACAGCCTCCATTG